TCAGTTTGCCCCGGGTTAGGGGTAAGTTGACCCGAGTCGAGTCAGTGGGTAAGATGCACCATCTGGGTGTAAAATGACCATGGGTAAGATGCACCATCAAACCCATGTGAAATAAATAACAATTTAAAAACTAATTTAATAATTTCCTTTTACAAACAGTCATATTTCTTTTCATAAAGTTAACTTTAACAACATAAAACCAACCAAATGAAGTTTAAATGTTAATATTTAATTGTTTGCATTTCTGAAACAATATGTTGAACACTAAAGTTGTAGCCTTCCTAAAAACAGACTAAACAGAGAGTTTGTTGGCCATTCGTGACTACAGGTGGAAATATATATCTGATTATAATGCAATGAAAAGCATTTTCTGGTTCTTATCAGAGAAGGATTTGGTGCACTTGTACACTGTCCCTATCAAATCAACTACACAATATGTATATATGATAAACTAAACCAGTAATATATGGGCCGCAACCCAGCACTGAGAGTGCACTAACTCGTGCAACAACCATTACATCTGTTATGCTAAAATTTTACTTTGACAATCCAGAAACTGTTTTTAAAGTAAATGGGTGCCTTCCATTCCCCTCATGTGTTTCTCCTTTTCACAGTCTGGCAGAAATGATGAGTGATTCCAAAATACATGGTCACATTACAGTAAAAGTGTACAGTTGCCAAGATAAGATACAGGGGGTGGGTCAACTTACCCCACGCTCCCCTACTTCCATTGAAGATGAGGCAGAAGCAGGCTCAGAGAGTGAGGGAGAGCCCACTCTTATCAAAACATCTGCAATAAGTCTGAAATTATTACAGAGTGTGCTGTCTTCTCTTTTAATTGTATATTTGTAACCACTGGATATTTTGTATTAACAAGCACCCACCCCCCCTATAGTGCCCCTTTTTTGGTTTGGGCCACTGCACCTCAAAATGTCTGTGCACGGCCCTGGGGTGACACGGAGGAGACGAATTGTTGAATAAAGTGTTTTGTTTTTTTCTTTTGCGCACAAAAAGTGTTCTCGTAGCTTCGCATAATTATGGTTGAACCACTGATGTCACATGGATTATTTTACAGATCTCCTTGCTACGTCTCTGGACTTGGGAACATTTCAGTTGCGTTGCTGTCTATGCAGGGTCGGAGAGCTCTCAGATTCCATCAGAAATATCTTAACTTGTGTTCAGAAGATGAACAAAGGTTTTACCGGTTTGGAACGACATGAGGGTGAGTAATTTTTGGGTGAACTAACCTTTTAACATTAGCTATAAGTAAGTTTCAAGGAGTCTAGTAGTAAAATAAAATCCATGACCCATTTAAACGCAGATCATGGAGCTGGGCGGAGCATCTAAATTACATAGGCACACTTGGAGCACATCCCATAAAGGGAAAAGGAAAGATAAACAACTAGCCATGTGCGCTTTCGAGTCACTGCTCCTGAAGCTTCGAATCCTTGGTGAATCATTTGCGTCAAAGCTTTGGTTCGGAGCGTTCGAACCGAGCTGCCAAAGTCACGTGGTTTCAGTGAACCTTGCACAAAACAAGGCCCACAAACGTCACAACGAAACAGTGAATCATTTTTTTGGAGCAAGCAATTGATTCAAAGTTTCGTTTTACCAGAAACAACACCCCCAACACGACGAAATAATGGAATCGGTGGGGCATTTTCGGAATTTATACAGAGAAAAAGAAGAAGTTAATGGAGAAGGCGAAGAGGAAAGAAAATCAAAGACTAGAATTAAGAATTTGGCTGCTTTAAATACAGAATTAGGTACCGGGTCGATTTTGACGCACTATCCAAAAAGCACTGGATAATTTAATCGATTTAGTGGAGTTATGAATATAAAAAGCAAATGCAGCAAATGTAAAGTAAATATTGTGTAGGGAATGAACCGGACTGTGAGGCTGCAGCAGAAACTGGAGCGATGAAAGGGTGAGTAATGCGGCCTAATGGTGCACACTACACCTTTTAGGCCCTAATTTTCATATTTTCAGTTATTGTATCCCGAAACCGGAGGCAAAGACACTCGTTCACGTTAAGGACTAGCTGTGTGTTTTTCCAAAGACGCGATATGAGAGAAAAGAGCAGATGTTCAAGCAAACATGTGACATGCAACAACCGGCAATGTCTTAAAAAAAAATATATATATATATAATAATCTCACGACGGAATAAAAACCCAGTTCACGTTCCCAAACAAAACAGGCCACACAACACATTACAGAGGCGCTTATTTAATAGATTGCACTTTCAATAAAACACATAAGGTTATGCATGATTGAGCTGAGCTTCACGTCGTTTTGACTAGCAGGCGTCACCAGCGCGTGGCGTTTCGAAACAGCGAATCTTTTTGCGAAGCAATCGGTTCAGTTGATTCGAAGCTTCTTAGAGGATTCGAAAATAGCTCTCGCGATACTTTGAGAGTCATATGGCCGCGCACAGAGACAACAAGGAAGCACGCCAAATCACCAGAACCAAGAAGAGACGCATTTCTGAGTCTCCTCCTCAGCACACAATTGTAAGTAATTTCTGTACTTTTCTGCTACTGTTTTATGAGCGCTTTTTAAGCATCGAGCATCGAACTCCGCTCGCTTTGGGCTGTCAGTAGCGAGTGTGTATAAACTATATTTCAGCACGTGCGAACTCGAAGTAAACAGTACGCATCTTTAGCGTAGCTCTGACACTGTGCAAATTTCGAAAGTATCTTAAAGTACTTTTTATTTGTTTATTTGTTTGTCTGTTTGTAGAAATTGCAAATGTCACAATGAATGAAAATGTTTTTTTGTTTTTTTTGCGTTTGTAAACACGTGTCTTGGACATTCCACTTGGGCAGATCCCCACACTGACAGTAAATGTAGGTGGGGCAGATTCTGGGAAATAGTGCTACTAGCTTAATAAACTCAAGAAAGCTTGTAGTCTTTATCGTTTAACACATGAACTCACACTTTTGGCATTGATCTAATGTCCTTGCGTTATTGACAGGCTTGAACACACACACACACACAGAATGCTATATAATTATTGCCTTAATATTGTCTCCGAATGTTGATTTAGAATGTTACAAATTGTGGTGGAATTTAAGTGAGGAAACGAATATCGAACATAAAACAAACACAACAGAACTATATAAAGGCTTTTCACGTGAGCACATTTAAACTACAGGATTAACACTTTCATTCATTTAAAAACACTACTCCATGTAGGAAAATCAGACATGCCAGCACATATGTGACACTGTCTGTGAAATCCAGGCTAAAGTCTCAAAATCTAATAAGCATCAAAGTTTGATTTCAACCATTAATTTCACTGTGATTTCAATCTTTGACATAGCCTTACTCAGTCAACTCAGATATAAAGGTATATTTTCACTGAATGTTCTACATCTTCATGAAGGATGAGTTTATGTAGAAAAAAAAAAGAAAGACTTTAGCTGGGTTTTCACAGGCAGGGTCAGAGGTCTTCTCGGGTCCTAAAATCTGTACCCGACCCAAATCACTTCTTATCCGAAACCGACATGCATAATTATGTTTTTTTAAAGAAAAACCCGACCCGAGACAGACCCGATGATATTAGACCCGAGTCTGACCCGACTGTATTTCGAACCCGACTGGACCCGAACGTAAACGACATTGACGTGTGAAAAAAAAAATCCTGGTGTCCTGACTGATTTGGCCGCTTCTCCATTACTTTGTTTATTTAACATTTATTTAATTTATTATTATTTTATATTAGTGCCTGCCTGATGGATACAAGTTAGCCTATTTCTGAGTTCGGCTTTATACTGTGACCTGTGGATTTGAAGAAAAAAAACGTGATAGTTTGATGAAAATTTAATCGATAGCCGTTGTCTGCAACCTAATCTCCGGCGAAAGGCTTCTGCACACAAAAAAGAAAAGCCCTGTATAATGAAGCGAGTGGATTTTCCTGAAGGATCTCGTATCTATAAGATGATTTCTGTGTGTGAGGTTACAAACGTATTCTCCTTTTCTATGTGCGTTCCTCACTTAACACAAACTCGCAAGTACACATCCGGGATAGTTTAAAAGAATTCGGGTCTTATCGGATCCATTTGGAAAAAGCACATTTATTTTAAATAACCCGAGGCCGAAGGTATTCCGAGGCACTCGTCGAAGTTTTGGACTCGAACCTACTCGGGTCTCGGGTCGGACCTCGGGTTTTCGGATCCAAGTGGACCCGTGAAGACCTCTACCGCAAACTACGTTTCACAACCAAAAGCACGTGAGAAGTTATAAGGAAATAACTAATTCCCGAACTTCCCGCTGCGCTGTATCTTGCTCTCTCAATGGCTGTAGGTCAATATCTGTCATTGTTTGTTTTTGTCCTGTTTTATTTATTAATTTATTTACTCCAATTTAAGGCCCTGTAACCCAGCAAGTCATTCACGGGGAACTCGAGGACCGGATGGACTGGATTTGTCCAGGGCCGAATTGTAACCCCAGTCCAGCCCTGAACTCAGCTTATGAGCAACTGAAGGTAAAGAGAAAGGACAGCTGTGATTTTTGGAACTAATGTAATTTAAACTGAAATTAGCTGAGTATCTGTTATGGAGCTACTCTTTTTATGCACTACAACGTGATGAGGTTAATCTCAGATTATATTATTAAAAATAATATAATAAATAATGCATATGATAATACTTATGATTTAATGCATGTGATTCGCGTTCACAAACCGATCCATCTCCCATTCTAAGTTACGTCCTTTGGCTGTTTACTGTTTTATTTATTTTCTTTTTCTGCTGATGGCTCGCTATCGCGATATTATCGCAAATGCAATTAATCGTTCAGCCCTAGTGCTCACGGTCACGTCCACAGCGCGCGTGTATAATATTGAGTTATTTTTCACAGTTTGTTGTGCTTAAGCTGCCAAATACACACAAAATGACATCAAAATGGCCAGCCTGGCGAGTAGTGCTGTCAAACGATTAATCGCATCCAAAATAAAAGTTTGTTTACACTGCTGATGGCTCGCGCTCGACTTGAAGCAGTGCTGCTTAGACCGATCGGTGTGTGTCATCAAAGTACTGCGAGAGCTGTAAGAGAGCGGACGTCTCCTTATGCTTTCTCTCGCCGTACTTTGATGTCATACACCGATCTGATCTTCAAGTTGAACACATCTCTTCACTCTCGCGTGTCACGTGACCGAGTGTAATCGCAGAGGCCTGTGCGATTGAAAAATCGCGTTTTTTCATATCGCGATATTATCGCAAATGCAATTAATCGTTCAGCCCTAGTGCTCACGGTCACGTCCACAGCGCGCGTATATAATATTGAGTTATTTTTCACAGTTTGTTGTGCTTAAGCTGCCAAATACACACAAAATGACATCAAAATGGCCAGCCTGGCGAGTAGTGCTGTCAAACGATTAATCGCATCCAAAATAAAAGTTTGTTTACATAATATATGTGTGTGTACTGTGTATATTTATTATGTATATATAAATATACACATGCATGTGTATATATTTAATAAAAATGTTTTGTTTATATATAAAATATTAATGTTTATATATAATATAAGTTATATAGAAATATATATGTATGTTTGTGTATTTATATATACATTATAAATATACACAGTACACACACATATATTATGTAAACAAAAACTTTTATTTTGGATGCGATTAATCGTTTGACGGCACTACTGGCGAGTTTCCTCATAAACACAGTCAGTTTTGTCTTAAGTGAATGTAAACAGTTGAGAAAGTAAACGCATGAGTATCAGTGTATTGGATCTGTGTGTTGTGTCTTGTGAACGCAGCTTAATAAAACTGTGGCGTCTGCCATTAATGTTCATCAAACAAAAGATAAATTTCAATCACAAAAATAAAAATTTATTCAATTTTTTGTATGTTTTTGTACCTCAATACTACTGTTAGACCAAAACAGTTTCCAAAACAAAATTCAGGTCCTGAGTTTAACTGATAATATTATTTAAAGGATTATATATTATTAAATTGGCGCAGTTGCAGCTTGTACTTACTATTAAAACAAATAGAAAGCAAGCAAGTAGCATTAATAGTCATTTATTTTAGTTAACATATGCTATGATAAATTTGAACTGATTTTTATTTTTAATTGCAAAATAATGGAACATTAGGTCATGAATATTGTCTAATGGAAATGTATTGGTAAAAATGTTTACGAAGATAAAATAAAATTAAAATTAAATCGTATAATTAGAATTGCACAATACACTAGACACAAAATAAAGACAAAGATGAAGGGAAATTTTAATGCTTATCACATGGCACTTGTTGTTTTGACATTTTTCTACATACTATTGTTTATTTGTGTTTCACAGGTTGTGGAGGAGATCTGGAGGAGAAGGACGGAGATGGCGGGACCACAGCGAAGAGGCAGTGAGGGAAGAAGAAAAGCCAAAAAAAGAAAACACTCCCACAGCAAGAGCAAATCTAAGGAGAGTCAGAGGACACGCCTGACGGTTAACCTCCATTGGTGAGAACCTTTCAACTCTCTCTTTGTGATCATATTCTGTGTGTAAATAATGCAAACAATTACAGTGAAAGCTAAAGTTGTTAAATGGTGTTCAAGAGTTTTTGGCGACAGTGATTGTGTTGTCAAAGAGCCAGGATAATTGGTGTCAATCCTGACCAACCGAAAGGCTAAAAGTCATATTTTCATGCTTTGCCCCCCATTTTTTTGTTGTTGTGTTTTTTTTTTTACTGTGAGTTGGAAACTCTCATCAAGTGAGAAACACAACAGATCTGTGGCTGCGCTCTATGGATTATGGAGCTCTTGAGCTCAGTTGGAGTGACCATAATTGGTTTCTAATTTACCAAAAAATAAATAAATAAAAATCGAGGAGAGCATGACAATGCAAGCTTCCATCGTCATTCCTATTAGGGGTGGAACGGTTCATGAAAAAAATCTGAACCGTTCAATTCCCTTGTCACGGTTCAAGACATGTGTGTATTGTTCGGGTCCGGCCATGCACAGCATAACATTATTTTTAACCTTTTGGCACAGGCTAAAGCTATAACAAGAGCACTTTTTGTTTTTATAGCGAAAGATATGCAGCCTTATGCCGTGGAGGATGCAGGATTTAAGAATAAGATCAAAGTACTCGAGCCGCGTATACTATTCCCTCCCGCAAACACTTCAGCGACGTGATAATTCCCGAACTGTATGAAGAGACGTGACAAGTAATAGCTTGTTTGCAATCACGTGATTCTGATGACGCGTGCAATTCAGATGGAGGGCAGGAAGTGAAAAGCAGAATGGATGAGATGGAGGAAAGTCCGTACTGTAGTGGTTTAGACACTATTACAAGAGAAAGGTATAAACAGAAAATCACAACATATGTTGGACGTGATCCTAATGTTATGAAGAGAAGCGATTTTTCAACTAAACTGACATACTTCCCTGCCTTCGAAGCGGTGGTTATAGGCTAAGCAACTAACCTTGACTGTAAACGAGCTATTTCGAAGGTGAATCCCGCACTTATATGAGGGATGCAGGATATATACTACCTACCGTTCAGAAGTTTGGGATCAGAACGATGTTTAATGTTTTTACAGGAGTTTCTTATGCTCAAGGCTGCATTTATTTGGTCAAAAATACAGGAAAAAATGTAAGTGAAATATTACGATGTAAAATAAAAATTTTCTATTTTAATATACATTAAAATCTAATGTATTCCTGTGATGTGCAGCTGTATTTTCAGCATCATTACTCCAGTCTTCAGTGTCACATGATCTTCAGAAATCATAATAATATGCTGATTTATTATCAGAGCTGGAAACTGTTGTGCTGCTTAATATTTTTTTGGAACCTGTGATACTTTTTTCAGGATTCTTTGATGAATAAAAAGTTAAAAAGAAGAGCATTTATTTAAAATATAAAGCTTTTCTAACAATATGCACTACCGTTCAAAAGTTTGGGGTCAGTACATTTTTATTCTTTCTCTTTTTTTTGAAAGAAATTAAAACTTTTATTCAGCAAGGATGTGTTAAATTGTTAAGAAGTGATAGCAAAGATTTATATTGTTAGAAAAGATTTATATTTTGAATAAATGCTGTTCTTTTTAACTTTTTATTCATCAAAGAATCCTGAAAAAAGTATCAATTTCCAAAAAAATATGATTTCTGTATTTTTGATCAAGTAAATGCAGCCTTGATGAGCAGAAGGGACTTCTTAAAAAACATTACAAGTCTTACTGATCCCAAACTTTTGAGCGGTAGTGTATGTCACTCCTGGAACTGTGCAGCATGTACAGGGTATGTGGCTGTTGGTCCTGTTAGCAGCACATAAAACAAAACTAATTCAAACTGAATTGATTATAGCATAGAAAGCTAGCAAATTAGTGCTTCCATATAATCACTAAAAAGCTCACTCACTTCAATTTATCGCAATCGCACAATGCTCCGTTATAATCAATGAAGATCTCTAAACGGCACTTATAATATCTTATTTACATCGTGTCTATGAGTAGAGTTTAGTATTGAGTGAATTCTGACTGTCTCATGCTGAATGCATGAGAGTTGGCAGCCCTGTATCTATTTATATATTTCTTTATTAATATCTTAATATATTATTATATCTTATATTAACCAATTGCGCACACACAAGCATTATCCGACTCGGCTCCTCCCGACCGCAGACGCAGGTTTACAAGACAATTTTTCAGACAATTTCTTGCCTTTTCCCCCCTTATGAACAACACATTTTCCATACACTATACAAACTCCTTGTGGTTTCTCGGTTTGACTGATTTGAGCTCTTACTTCAGATGCATGGACCTCCAGGGCCACTGAAAGTTTTTTTTAACTGTGATTTCAGAGTGGGAGATGAGAAGCATCATTTTGTAAGAACAAATAAATGTAAAGCCTGTTGAAATTAACAACACCTTGCTGTGTCAGAATCTCACAGATTTAATTTATGATGTGTCACAATAATGTGTCTATTCCTAAGATCAAGCTGCCTCATTCTTTCAGTTTTTTGATTATTTGACCGTGAGAATAACTTATTTTTTAAATACTGTAAATGGTAGATTATAAGGCTATATATTTTATGCTGATGTATGGTATTTCTAAAGTGTTAAAAACATTAGCAATGTATAGAGGTCGACCGATAGTGGATTTTGCCGATACCGATAGCTAGGTTGGACCACACTGGCCGATAACGATTAATTAACCGATAGTTTTAAAATTGATACTGAACAAAAACTAAAATAGTGCTTTATTAACAAAAACAGTACTGAACCATACTAGTAGTAGTAGTAGTAGTAAAAAAAATAATAGTAAATGTTGAAATTAACACACTCTAACAAGGAACAATACTTACACAGCTTTCATTAATCTTAATGCTACAAATGGACTCTTATTTTAAAGTGTTACCATTTCATTTCAACTGTCATGCTTAAAGATGCACATCTTTAAATATATACACAAAGGCTATAGCATTACAATTATATACATATGGATATTGTATGTATACTCTCAGACTTGAACTGCTTCTATTCTTGAACACTTGATGATTATCTAATCAAAATAAAAGCGCAGCGCTGAGTCTAGGAGAACTCACCAGTATCACACACACTCTGGACGCGTCGCGTTCAACTCGAGCAGCGGTCTAAAACAGTTTATTTAATCACCAAACGGACACAAGTTTACTTCAAGAATGAACAATTTGGCATAGATGAGTTTGAAGTTCGGTGTTTAAAAAACGGAGCAAACGGAAAGAGAAAGCGCGATCTATATTATAGCTCTATAAATGAAGCATTAACAACAATTCGGGACAAATATAATGTAATTTAATGGAAAACTATGTGAATGGCGCTCTGTGGCGCGGCAGGATTTTCTGTCGGCTGCATTTAAATCCGCGTCTGAAGTTTCCCGCTCTGTTCAGCGTGCAGTATCACGTGTCTAAACAAATAGCACGTGCTGTCAGTGATTTCAACCACTAGAGGCCGCTCTCATACTGTATCATTATACAGCAGACCCTTCTCAGCCGTTCCAGCAACGGACGCAACCCGGAAAACTATCGGCATGGATTTTTGCCGATAACCGATAGTTCCAGCAAAAAACTATCGGTGCCGATTAATCGGCAAAACCGATACATCGGTCGACCTCTACTTGATATCATTTGATAATGCTTTCAGCTACAAATTGGAATGTCACATTTCACAGATCACATTTTAACATTTAGCATATTCAATACAGTCTAGTTCGGATTTTAGTGCAGATTTTTGTTTTGATGAACACAGACTTATATAGCTAAACAACAACATACACTTCCATTCAAAAGTTTGGAGTCAGTAAGATTGTCTTTCTTTTCTAATGTTTTTTTTTTTTAAAAGATGATGTTTACCAAGGCTGCTTTTATTTGAATAAAAATAGTTTTTTAAAATTCCAATTTAAAAAGAAAACATCTTTCTATTTTTATGTTTTGAAATGTATTTTATTTCTGTGTCATTCCTCCAGTCTTCAGCGTCACATGATCCTTCAGAAATCATTCTAATATGCTGATTTGCTGCTCAAGAA